CAAAGGAGGGGCGGGGGACGGGGACATCTTTAATAGTGTCAACAATAAAAACAAAGTTAAAGTCTTTGATAATACCCAAATTTAAAAATAAAATATTTATTCCATTACTTATTTCTAAGTAATCTATAAGTATAGTATTTCTTAATAAAATATCCTTCTACTAATTGTTTATTGTAACATTTAGTGTATGATTGTGCAATTAAGTCGTAAGGCCAAATAAATAGGAACTATTCCAAAAAATGAAGATTAAAGTATACATTGGATTTTCCATTAAAAATCTAATTATTAGTAATCTTGAAAGGTTACCAATATCACACTGAAGCACACAGCATTAGACACATATTTATCAGAGTTCAGCTTCAAACACGTTTTTATTCTTGTATACATGTTTGCATTTATCTATAGCTATATCTATAGAGAGGGACATCTCTCTATATGTGTTTTTATATATATTCTTTATCACACATAAAGAGTCATTAACTAATACATTACTTCAGCTGAAAGTACCAGCATCATAGAAAAATTCAGAATAAAGACAGACAAAATTTTATGACACCCTATACTCTTTGTTTTAACAGAAATAATTCATCCAGGAGAGCAATTAGAAGAAAAGAAGAAAAGCTGTTCCCTCCTTCACTTTCCCCACTGCCAGAGGACCCTCCACGCCGTAGAAACATCAGTGGGAATAATGGTCCCTCTGGTCAAGACAAAAACATCCCTATGATTGGACAGATCACCTCTGCCAAACCTAAGAGGAATGAAGGCAAATTCTGTGCTACTTTCAAAGGGATATCTGTAAATGTAAGCATCTTGGGAGAAATATTATGATCGTCAGGTGGAAACAAGTTGATTTAGCTTATCTAACTAGCTAGACTTAACCACATGGGGATGTTGCAGGGGGATGGGAGGAAGAGGCAGAGAATAACTATAAGTGTGTGAACACACAAATACACAAACTCTCCATTATTTCAAATTTCAGTTATTCTACTTTAGGACGAATTTTTCATTTCAGCCTTACTGCTCCAAATAGATTATTATGCAGAGACTTGGGACTTTAGACATCCTTTGGTCCAAGCCTTTCATATTTTGGGGGTGGAGGACACTTCCAAAATACTGACCACAGCATCTGGTAAATTCATACCCACTAAACTGGGTGATGGAAAGATGTAACTTGGAGTTCCAGCCCCATTTCGGTGACTTTGGGCAATCCCATTCCATCTACTTGTTCTTTCATTCACTAAATGATCAGTGCCTACCGTGTGGCATTCACTCAGCTGGAAATCAGTCAAGTTCCTCATGTGAATGACAAGGCTGCTTTGGCCTTGGTCCCTGGGTAATAACTATTGCAATACAATGTCTGGTATTTTACTGCACTGGATCTGGCATTTTGCAGTGACCTTAATACTTGCCTTAGTGAAAATTCTGGCCTGGTTTACTTATCAACAATATACACATCAGGGTCATCTCTGCTTTACCCTTTCCCCCTCCTGTCCTCCCTTTCCCATTCCTTCCCTCTCCAAATCACCAAACTACTCAGGTGCTGGGATTACATAACGACATCATGGTTATTCACAGAATTCATAAAATGTACCAAGGTCACCTACTTATCCTCAAACTGTGTCCTTTGTCTTGTTTCTTTTTAAATTAAATTTATTGGGGTAACAGTGATTAAGATCATATAGGTTTCAGGTGTGAATTTCTGTTACAAGAAGTGATTTCTCCTCCTTTTTCCCAGGAGGGAGACACTACAAAAAAGGCAACTTCTGCCACCGTTACTGTCACCAACGCTGCTATTTCCACTGCCACTGCTACTGCCATGGTCACCACCCCTGTCATGGCCACTGCTACTGCCACGGCTACTACCACAAGCACTACCACTACCATTTCCACCACCACCTCTACCATCACTACTGGCCTAATGGGTAGCAGTCACCTGGAGATGACGTCCTGGGCAGCCCTGCCCCTTCTTTCCACCAGCACCACCTGTGTCCGGAGACCAAAGCTCACTTTTGATGACTCGTATGTTGTCCCCAGATTATTCGTGACCCTGTTTGAGAGTAGTGAATGGGGGGGAGAGTGGTGTGACTTTTCTAGCACCATGCAATATGTCACCCAAAATAAGACCTTAGCAGCAGTTTCTATAGCTTTAAAAGTATATCCCTCCTCCCCACATACTCCTATCCTAACCAAGAAATGTCTTTGGTCCATTTTAATTGTTACTGTTTCAAAAGGCAGTTGCTTAATTCTAGGTTTTTTTGTCTTTCTTTGCTATTCCTGTCTTCAAATAGAACTGTGTACCAACAAAGAGGTTTACAGCTAGGTTTTGTTGAATCTGTTTGGATAACTGGAATGGTGGGAGTCAGAGGATGTAGTTATTTATCCTAATGAGCCACTTACAGAATTATTTCAAATTTAGTTATTATATGAATGATAACATTCATTTATCTGTCCTTCTTAAAGTGTTATATAGGAATGGATTTATAGTAAAAAACATTTTTGTCTATTCAGTTTTTAATGAAAAGATGAACCATTGGTTTCTGAAAGAGGTCATTTTTGTTGTTGTTGTTTAGTCTCCACAATGCAGATTATTACATGCAAGAGGCCAAGAAGCTGAAGCACAAAGCTGATGCACTGGTAGGTTTGCTTCCTCTCATTGCCTAGTTACCATTAAGGTATTATGCTTTGAAGGAAAACAAAGAAGGCACTTTACAAATAATTCAAACTTTCTCATTGCTGCTCTAACATAGGGAGATTGGAGCTGGTTAATTCCTTAACACTGTAATTCACAAAGTTCTTTGCACTGTGATACCCTGGCATTCATGTATTTGTTTATTCACTGTTCTTTCCCTTACCCCAACTTCAGAAGGTAAATGGAATATACTATCATCATTATCTTTCAAGTGGATTTGAACTGACTCTTGAGACTGCTCTAGAGAAGTTGGGGGCTTTCTTTGAGTCTGGTAAACCAGAAACTAGTGTGGGCAAGAAGAGGGCTATGGAGAGCTAATAAAGTAGCTTCAAAAATTGGCTTTGCAAAACTCAGGTATGTAGAAAAAACTTAACTCCTTGCTGCATTTGATTACATGTTTCCAGAGTGAGGCCCACACTGAGGCTAGGACCCTGTACAAAGAGAGGAAGTTCTGTCATTTGGATTTTTTGGTCACCTAGAACAGCAATGAGCTCAGGCCATTGACTTGTTTGGTTTGATTGATCCTCCTACCATGGGATCTCAACTCTGAAGTACTGCAGAAAGGCTCTGGAGTTTTTCCTCTGTCAAAATCAGGACAAGGGACCACATAACTATTTCTTTGACAAGCTACTCCATAAGCTGGTGAAGATTGGAACACACCTGTGAGACCATATAGGTGAAAAGTTAAAAGAACTGAGAAAAATCAAAGCCACAGAAATACATATACATATGATTAAGAATAAACATCCCACCCTGGCTGGTATTGCTCAGTGGTCAGAGCATCAGCCTGAGGACTGAAGGGTCCCAGGTACAATTCCAGTCAAGGGCACCTACGTCAGTTGCTGGCTTGATCCCCAGCCCTGGTCAGGGTGCATGTGGGAGGCAACCAATCAGTGTGTTTCTCTCACATCAATCTCTTTCTTCCTCTCTCTCTCTCTCTCTCTCTCTTACCCCCCCCTTCTACTCTCTCTGAAAGCAATGGAAAAAATATCCTCAGGTGAGGATTAAAAAACTAAATAAGCATCCCTCTCTGTCATCCATGGTCTGTTCATACGTTCCCCCTATACCACCTTTGGTCTAATCCATTTAGACAATGCATTTTCAGTTAGGGAGATTCTGTCCTCATGAGGGCAAAAATGGTTCTTGGAGTAAGGTGAAACAGTCTTAGATATTTCAATGGTGTGTGACGCTTCAAAGGGCTATAGTACATAAAGAGATCATCAGAATATCATTGGTATTAAAGTTTCAGTGGGTGGGTGTGAAAAATTATCTAAAAAAGTTCCATCTGGAAGTGGTGATAATGACAAAAGAATGAGAAATGTTCATTTACAATATGATATCTTTCCTAGGTTTATGTCTATTCTAGAATTGGAAGCCCCCTTGTAGTTCAAACTCGTTATTTTATAGATGGAGAAATTGAGGCTCAGAAAGGGGATGTGATCTGACCACTAAATGGCACCATGGTCTTGAAATTTCTCTGGACTTCTGGACTTCAGTTTCTCCTTTTTGAAAAGGGGGGTGGGATGAGGTTAAGAGGTCTTTAAGGATTCTTCCAGCTATGAATTTGTGAATGAAGTCACACTTTGAAAAATCAGGATGTAAAGATTAATCTCCAAATGGGAGAGCTATTTGGAACCAGGTGACCTCAGGAGATTATTTTGTAAGGCAAGAGAAGAAGATAGTTTGCATATAAATAGGTGTTCAGAAAATCACTTTGAATTTGGTTGAAAACAATATTTTCCACAGCATCTCACAGAAAGGAAACCACAGAATTCCTGCAGTACTTAAAAGCTGAAAAACACTTATTGTAAAAGGAGTCATTTACAACAAGAGATTTTGCAGCACCTGTAACTCATCATTTTATAGTTGTACTTAATCCTTTCCTAGAGACAGCTACTCTGCCATTTTGAGAATTGAAGCCTGCACAGTTGCATAGAAAATATTTTGATAAAAGGTATACAAGAAAATTAAAATAGCTATATGTCCACTATATTGGTTCTTTTACATAAAATTCTGTTTTAGTGGAATTCTTACATCCAGCTATCAAAAATTGAAAATGTTAAATACTGTATAATATACTCACTATAAAAATGTCATAGCCCAGCCAGGCATGGCTCAGTGGTTGAGCATCAACCTAGTATCCAGGCAATTGGGGTTCGATTCCCGGTCAGGGCACATGCCCGTGTTCGGGGTTGGATCCCCAGTCGGGGGCGTGCAGGAAGCAGCCCATCAATGACTCTCTCATCATTGATGTTTCTATCTCTCTCTCTCCCTTTCCTTTCCTCTCTCTGAAATCAATAAAGATATATTTTTTAAAATGTCATATATAATATTCATTACACATAAAAAAGAAATCAGTATGTCTAAGTCACTAATCGTAACCATTATCAAGGCTTGCAATAAAACTAAATATATTTTTACTATATAATTTTACTTTTTGATACCCTATTTCAGATCATTATTTACAATGAAAGTGATGTGATTATTGTTAATAGTCACACTATAGCTTCCCACTTTTCATTACAATAGCATCAATTTCTTTCTCTTCTCTTTGGGGTAAGGTTGATGAGCTCACAAAGAGTTCCAAGCAAAGACTATATATGTTAGTTTTCCAAGAAACTACAAAAAGCAGAGTTTTATTGCAAGCAGGTCTATAGGATACTACAATGACCAGTCTAGTAAATTTAATGAATAGAAACTAGTCAAGGCAGTGATTAGAATTCTGGTCTATCAAAAAGATAATATCAAAATAATACAACCACACATGATACCTTAGCTGCAGTTTTCTTTTCTCAACCAGTCTTAATGTGATGAAAATAGAACCTTAAATTAGTTACATTATTGTCAATATAAATTCATACATTCTACATCAAGATTTCTCAACCTTTACACTCTTAGGCTGGCTAATTCTCCATTTTGGAGGCTGCCCTGTGCATTGTGGAATGTGTAGCTGCATCTCTGGCCTCTGCCCATTAGATATCCCCTGTCCCTGGTTGCAACAAACAAAAATGTCTCCAGACATTGCCAAATGTTCCCTGGGGGAGGGGTGAAAAATTGTCCCAGTTTAAGAACCCTTCCTTTATATGAAGGAAAGAAGGGACTATATTGATGAGTCTTATTCCTGTTTTAGTTTGAGAAATTTGGCAAAGCTGTGAATTATGCCGATGCAGCCCTGTCTTTCACTGAATGTGGCAATGCCATGGAGCGTGACCCTCTGGAAGCTAAGTCTCCATATACCATGTACTCTGAGACTGTGGAGCTCCTCAGGTAAATGGCCTTTCTGCAACCAACTTCCTAAACTCATTTCAGTCATAATTAGAAGTTGCTATTTTTTAAAATAGCATTTCTACATAGTAATGATTTATCCAAGGCATCTTGTTAGAAATCATGATAATTAGTTCTTGCCATTTTATTAATGTGATATAAATTTTATAATTGATGGACACTGCTTTTATAAATTATCCCCTTCAGAGGTTATAATACGTTGTAAATTACAATATTCATAAAATTAAAATGGAGACATAGTATAATAATTTCACTGTTTAGCATTGACACTTGTATTTTCAAAGTGCAGTTTTATAATTCAAAAAAAATGGTGTTGGAATTTCTGTAATAAACCATGTTTTGTAAGAATTTTTCTGCATTGATTATTAAAAAGTGAGATTACACACATGTTTCCATGTGTGAACATTGCTGACTGGTCACGAGTTAACCAGTGTCTGCACTTACATTAATTTAAGTAATTTTAAACACCTTGCTGACTGATCACAAGGATTCAAGTGCCCGCTGCACGGGCGAATTCTGGCTCGAAATAGTCAGCAAGGTGTTTTAACTGCATAGATTATTGGTTTCACTTGTATTTTAAATGAAAATTTCTGGCCTGTTGGTCTTGGAAGAGTAGAATTTATGGGTAATCAAAAAATTCCTGAGAGAAGGAGAAAGAGAAGTGATATCCAATTAGTATTTTCTAGTAACTTGCAGATATCTGGAAAATAATCCACCTCTGAATAGTGGATAAGCACGATCATTTGCTGGAATGACTAAATATTTGCTTTTGATTGAGCAAACAGTTTTTAACCTAATAGGCCCTTATATTCTGGTCACCTCTGACTTGATTAATCAATAATGCCAGGCCTGGGTTTTAGGTTTTTACTATGTTGCTTACAAATCTGAGGACACTTATACGTAAACCTTTAGAAACATTGAACAAATTTAGCATGCATATTTTCACAGGAAAGCATTTTAAAATATCTGAAGAATGTGAACTATTATAAAGAAAAAAGTATGCTCACATAGAATAAGGATATTTAGTTAAAGCCACAAAAGTAAGGAGATTGTGAGGAAGGATCCAGCCTTGCGTTGCTAGACCAAGCAGCCACCTTTGGCTATTCTCTGCTCTGGGAATCATGTAAAGTACCTCTCTGACTTCATGCATGGCAAAAGCCACCACTGACATCCTGTAACTTTTAAGGGGAAATTGATTTTTTAGTGTCTATTCAAGGCTGCCTGTGATTTTCAAAGTGCACAAGATGAAAATTCTGGCAAAAATGATGAGCATTCAAAATTCAGTAAAAACAATGAACAAACATGGAGAAAATTCATGTTCTCTGTTCAACCAAAATGGAAATTTTTGAAAAGGCACTTTTTAAATTAACAAGAAAATGTAAAAGTGTCAATACCTGGTGTTAGCATGCACACACACAAATATGGGTGAACTAGGACTGTCCTATGCTGGTGATGTGAGTAGAAATTGATCATTGTAAATTGAGGAAAATTTGGCATTGTGTAGGAAAACCTATTGAAATGAGCATTTATATATTTTGAGTCAGTAACTCAACGTCTGGAAATCTGAATTTCCTCTGCTGAAGAAAATAATTGTAGGAATAGAACAAGTTATCTCTATGGTGTTCTGTTTGGCATAAATTGTAGCACACAATTAGAAGCAAACCAAAAACTCAGTAATAGAAGATTAATTAATTACATTGCAGTACACCCAACAGAATACTTTCCAGCCATTGAATTGCAACAATGATGAAGACTATGTAGCTGCATGAAAATGTTTATAACATGATGCTTAAAAAAAGAAAGCTTCAGAATTATTTATACATTACATTTCTGACCATGAAAACCATGTTCCTGCATGTGAACCAACCTGGAAAGGAAATGAGTTCATAGTTGTAATGGGGTGAAATTATGCATGTTTTCTCTATACATATAGTTTCCTTCCTTGTTAATTTTCTTTTAGGAAAATACATGCACTCTTTTGTGTGTCCTTTGTCTA